GCTAAAGCAGCACAGGCCTGCCTGATCCCCATTCAGAATTCAGTAATAAACCCAAAGGGACTGAAATTCAGGGGATTTTGTCAATCAAGCGGCATGCCCCTCCCAAAATAAAGTATGGGAGATAGGCAAGGAGCACGTACAGGACTGTGGAGCTGAAAAACAAGTGCAGCAGCATCTGAAAGGTCCTGCAGGTAAGAAAAGCCACCAGGAACATGGGAAAACAAGTCCTCAGGAGCAGCGCTTTCTGGGACGCCCTTGCTCTGCCTCCAAGGAGGCATTTCCATCACTAGGAGATGCAGTTCCCGCCTCTCCCTGCAGTACAGGTTAATAAGCCTCTACGGAAAGGGGGTGCAATGAGCAGTCTGGAGGAATTTCAGCCCTCAGTAAGTCAATATGCTCTTCAGCCCTTTCCATACAGGACGGTGTGCCTTTTATAAGGGAAAGGAATGAAGATTACTTTCCCAATATCCTGCTAATTGCTGAAAAAGATGAACTTGCCCCCTAAATCACAGGCTGCACTGAGCCAGCCTTCAGCTGCAATCCTCACTCCACCGCCTCCCAACTCTTCCAGCTATACGTGATTTCATAGCATGAAAAAATAATTACGGCTTCTAAATTGCAAACAGATTTAAATAGCAAGTAGCTTGGCCCCATGAAGTATGTGCAGTTGTTTAAGTGTCTCTGGTGCTCTGTAAGAGCTGATAAATGCCAAGCTGCTACAGGAATCAGCCACCACCTCCAAGCTGCAGGAGAGCGCACAACGCCTCATTCAAAGACAAGCCACCCAAAATCAAATCTACCTTCTGACTAAATGAAGTCTTGAAGCTGTAACTAAAGCGAAAACCTGAAATGACATTACACACATTCTTTATTTTTGTTTGTATTGCTCTTCCTCAAACTTTGTCAATGCACCCGTCATCCTGATTGCTCTTTCCTTTTGTTTTAAAAGCAACACAGGGATTTCTGGACTGCCTTTTTTTTTTTTTTTAAATCAGTCAGCATTTTAAGAGCTGTTTAGGTTTTCTGCAGGCACTACTATTTGAGGACTACTCCAGAACCACAGCAGAAGCCTCTGCAGCCGAAGGCAGTCCCTGAGCAGCTCCCATGCAGCAGGCGGGAATAACACCACCACGAGCACCACCCTCCCTGCAACACACCTACAATTTTGACAAGGACATCTACCACCTCGTCACCCCAGACAGGCCATCTCTGCAGTACTGGTTTATGGCCTCTGCAAAGTCAGTTGGGCAGGAGACATGCCTGTAGGCAGGCCCTTTGCTAGAAGGCTACCCGGCAGGCTGGAGTCAAACTCTGCAGGAGCCAGCACTGCTGCAGGAGCAGCCTCTTGCCTGGGCTCCTCCCAGCTTCCTCCTCCTCCGGTTTGCAATCAGTGCCAGCTTTGCAGACACCCCGAGCTATGCCTGACGAACATCATCATCATTTCTCCTGCACAGGCTTTTGAACTGGAAGTTAGTACACAAGGAACAGTTTGCAGCAGGGAAAAACCAACCCAACAACTTTCCAGATGAACACAACACCATCTTTGGCTTTCCGCAGAAACGAGCCTTTTGTTTACAGGCTTGCAGAATCTGACTCCAGGGGCTGGTCTGTTCTTGCTCAGAGAGGGAAAACAAGCCTGACCTCAGCGTGCTGGAATAAACTCTGCCCCCTCCTTCCTTCCACGCTTCTCCCAGTGCAAAGGTAAAGAACATGATATCCAGCAGCGTGACCGAGCTCGCCGAGCGATGCGTGACCGCACACACTCCTGTTTACTGACATCAAAAACAAGACTGCTAGAGCCAAGGAGGTAAACTAACTGGACATGCTCCTGCTGCCGTTCATCAGGCTACGCCGGCCGGCACTTCCCAGCTGGCGAAAGGTCTTCAGTAAGTCAGCTGGCCCCCGGTACGTTAAGTGCAGCATTCACTACTTAGCACATAACCTCTCCATGCGTGGACAGCCACGCTCACAGCAGACGCTCCCCTATCTCCCACTTGTACCATTTCCTACACAGTCGATAAGCAGGCTGCAATTTCCTCCAGGCGGATATTGCACACCAGCACTTGCTGGCAACAAAGCCTGAACAAAGAACCTAAAAGTCATCGTGCAAGACTTGGAGTGGCTCTACCATTCTCATTAGAAACAGCTACTCGTCATGGGAATTTGTCACACCAACAGGTTTGGAAAAAACCCTTGTCGTATTTGGACCTTCTTGACCTATGCCCTGTTTACGGTGCAGGCCAGAACCCTTTGCTCAAGCCTGCTCTGCGAACATGCAAGCGGCTAGCAATGCAAGTACCAGCGCTTTAAGAGATACCTTGAAGCAAGCGTGGGCTGCAAGGAGGGGAATTCCTTTCCGAACTAACTGGAAGTGGCAACAGTTGGTAATGCAAAGCATCTCCCAGGGCCGGAGCCTGCAGCTGCCAACGTTCCCTCAAAGTCAGGGCAAGGCTCGAAGGAAGCCAGATCATCCATTCCAGCCCACCAGAAAACCCGCGGTGCCAGGAACTCCGTGGGAGGCAGTCTCTGCAGAAGAGCCTTTCCACAAGGATCGTCCAGCTCACCGGCAGGAGGAACTTGCTATACTTCCCTCAAACACTCCAAGATCCGGCAGATCACGGAGCGGGCAGGCAGCCAATGCTATCAACTATTCCATCTGTGATTAATAAAAAGTTCTAAGAAAAGATTAGAGAGAGCTTAGGAATACAAGATTCAAAGACTCATCCTTCTGTAGCAAGTGACTGCTGATTGCGTTCCTAGTCCTTAGGATTTTTAAAGAATGCTTGAATACGTGGCAAAGCGTAAAAGTCAAAGACGCTGCATTCATACGGTGAACAAGATACCAACCCTACCTACCACCTTTGCAAATGAAGGTCGATGTGCACTGTTCTTGACAATCTGACTCGGGGTTTTAAAGTGAGAACTAGAAAAAACTGCATTTGCACAGGCTCTAAAGACTAGCTCTAACTCCAGCCTGCAGTCTGCTCATTTTCCTATCAGAGTTCAAAGATTTTGAGCACTAAAGAACCCATGCATTTTAGAAAAAACAGAGCCAGCCAGCATGCTATTCGAGCAGAATATTTGTGCTCGACATTCCCTTTCCAGAAGGGAGCCCTGCTCCGATGACAGCAGTGTGATTCAGCCCGCTGCAGGCAGCTCCGCAGCGGGGCTGGTATGGGGCTGTGGCCTCCCTGGCCCAGTGGACGACGCGACCTCGTTCAGCGCCGTTAGGTAACGCGGAACAGCTCATGGAAAATGAAGCTGTCAAATAGCAAAAGGCTCCTTTTAAGATGCCTGATGGATCCCTAATCAAGGAACTTGGGAATTCTTACATGCCGTACCACAGGGCTAAATTAAAGCATTACTGGCAGGTACTGCTGACCAACAGATAACGAACCGACACCGAGATGCATCAGCACGAGACTGTGATTCAGAGCAGTGCTGCAATTATGAGGTAACGACCTGCTGTCCAGCATGGTGCGTCTTCTCACTCTGGGCAAGTAGGGCGCAGACCCACACCAGAAGTTCAGGTTCCCCCAGTGCTGACACGTTAGTGAAGTTAAAGGGAGAGAAACGCGTTACTGAAGGTGAAGTTGCTCAGATCACACTTGGAATTAAATAACCTTAATGGGATAACCAGCACCAGGTATAATTCTGCTACTTAGTACTTTAATAATAGGCAAAAGATCTTGGTGCAGAGGTAGACTTTGACATGTCTCTAAAAATAGATACTTATAAACAGTAAATCATTATCAAACAACTGCATCTGGACAACCAATGCAAAATATCCATGGTAAAGAGAGAGCCTGTAAAGTTTAACTTTTCCCCATTAATTCCTCCAAGGGATGAGCAGATTCTTTTTCCCTTGTCCACAGAACTCCTGCCATTTTCCAGCACACAGCCCAGGATTTTTGCTAAGTAACAGCTGCCACAGCCAGTGCACATTTGCTTTTGGAAGCAAATCGCTAATTGTGAAGTTGCTACGAAGTCTGTTCTGGCAACTTGATCTGGATCATTTTTTAAGTCCTAAAAAGGGAAGGCTTGGAGGAGAGGCAAGCAAAAAGGGCCTTCCCTATGCCCTGCAGTGCTTCGCACCTCAAGGGATCTATGCTTCAAGCTCGAAAGCTGCAGAAACCATTTGACAGGACTGGTGCTACTACACTTGTAGCTAAAGTCCCTCCAAAGGCTAAGTCTGACCAGCAGCTGCTCCTGTGAAGCTCAGCTCCTTTGGGGTCTCCGAGCAGAGCAATGGGAAGCATTGCTAGCAGCTGTGCTGCCGGAGGACAGAAAGCAGCCTGGTACCCCAACTTCATGCACAAAGGCATCTATGCATGAGCAGTTTCACGTGGGGGAAGGAGCAACTCTAGAACACACAGCCCTGTAAAAAAAAAAAGAGTAATTCATAATTGAAGTTTAAGTGTGAAATGCCTTAAACACTCATCGATTTAAGGAAAGGAGCGGAGGTGAACAAGGATGGCTAGCATGGTACACGAGCACTGTCTTCACCTACCCAGCCGTTTCGCAGCAAGCGGAGCGGTCTGCTGAGCAGTCTGGGGTATTCAGAAGGACAGTAACTACACAATCAGGCATTCCTACTCAGGCTTTGTTTTTCCTCTGAGCAAAAGAGGAAAAAGTTTAAAATAAACCTTGCAGACAGCAGCATTCCATTTGCAAGAGTTCATTCTTTAAAGAAACGGGACAAACTAATTCCTCAGTAAATATTTGGGGTTACAACTCTGCTTAGCAGTATCTCGTTAAACACTTCCAAGGTTTTAGAGAGCCAGTAATACACTCAGGACAGCAGTCCATGGAAATAACAGGACTTATTTCAGCAGTAACAGAGCTATTTTTAAAAATTTTACTTATGGGATGCCAATTTCCTGAAGCTGTTTGGAAAATTAAATTTAAAAATGTACAAACACTAATGGAACAAAAATGTGCTATAGCAACAGCCTTCTTTTGCTAGGAGATACACTAGATATGTTTCTGGACTTTCCAACTTACTTTCATCCAAAAAATCACCTTTTCCTCCTTTTGGAGGACAAATTAAGAATAGCAACAAAAAAATCTGTCTGCAGTAAAAAATGTTTGCTTATAGAGAAAGCTTATTCCTAAAAAAAAAATCTTCCAGTTTTAGCAAATGCCTCCAGCTGTTATAAACAGATCAAACCAGTGACAATACACTTCTTCTCTAGGGATGCTTAGGTTTAACATAATTAGATTAGCTCAATGCCTCTGCCAGGCAAATAAGCAATACAAGAAGTTCTTTTATGTCGCTGACAACCTCCTAAAAATTGGAGGAATTTTAAAATGTACACCAACTTAACAACTGCTTGAAACAGGAAGAGGAGGTGAAAGAGTATCCAGCTGAAGCAGCAAGGGAGAATTCATTACACTGTAAATACCAGAGTGAAACACAGATGGGATGCTGAGGTTTATAATTCTTAAAGTGCCATTATAAAAGTGCGCAGGCATTTGCTTTTAAATATTATGACAAGCAGCTGAACGGTGTAAAGTATAGCTGTTTTCATAGGCTGCACCAACAATTCAGGAACTGTTCCAGTAAAACAAATACTAAAGATCAACAGGCCGTTGACTTCAAATCACTAAAAACACCACACAAAGAAAAATAAAAATGACAAACTAGCATCGCTTCCAAGCTAGCAATAAAGCACTCCCCAGGGAGGGGATCCTTCCCCCTTTCCTACCAGATGCGTAAAGTTCACCTTGTTCTGCCATTACAGAAAGCGAGAAGGGAAAGAAGAAAAATGTCTTGAGGAAGGATTTAGAAGCAAGGTTAATAGTTTTGTTTTAAACGTGGATGTTTCTCCTGGGATACATTTTTATCTCAAAGCAACTTTTGAGGTTATTTCAATGCGCTTTCATGTTATACAAGTGCCCTGTCTTCTAGGGGCTACTGAGCAATTTTATACAGTCAATTAGTAAAAAACCTAAACGCCTTAATGAACCCTGGGAAACAGGGTGCTCTTGATATGTCAGTGATTACTAGGCCAGGGCAGCATCATTTCTGCAAGATGCGAGTCACCAATAAAGGTGCCTTCACGTACCTTTAGGAACCGGGCAAAAATTGACAGGATTAAAACCTGCTTCCTAAATAACAGACAGGTGCTGTGAGAGTCCTGACTGGCAGCAGAGAACTGCTGGTTATTCACCACGCAGAGCTGAACGAAACGAAAGGGTTCACAAATGGGTCCTGAAAACAGAAGCCAAACCCAGCAGTGACAACTCATTCACAGCCCTGCTGCAGAAACAGCTTAAAAAGGAAAAAAAAGCACACTGGGCTGGGGAGAGATGCGTGCTTCCACACTTCAGTAAAAATCTGCCTCTTTAGTGAACAAAGATTTGCTTTTGAGATGGAGACTGGCATAAGCATTTCCTGTTTGGAGCCCTAAGGCAAAATATTACAATATAACAAGCTCCATTAGTTTTCCTTTTTTTGTTTTTCTCCCCAGTTCCTTATGTTTTGAATTAAGTCTCCAGTTGACTCTGACTCACAGCAAAGTTCTATGCTGATCCCACGAACATCGTTCCCCTCTTGGAGGAGACACCAAGTGCAAAAAGTAGGGCAAAATGACGCAAGTGGGACAGACGGGACATTTTTTAGGAAAGTGAGGCAAGAGGAAGCGCTGCCGGACCCCTGCCACAGCCTGGGGAGAGGACCAACAGTCACATGATGATATACAGCTCCTAATACATTTGCTAATGAGTCTGCCAGTCAATTACTCACTTCAAATGGTTTCAAGGACTTACGCTCTCTCAGCATTCTGGAGTCTAATGCTGTTTCTGAGACGACGAGCAGAAGCTGTGCACGCCTGGCAGCTGATGCTGTGCGGTCCAGCTGCCAGGGACACACTGCCCTCTCTCGGAGACTCCAAAACCAGCCCCGCGGAAGGACGCTGAAGACCAACACGCTGTTGGCATCTCTTAAAAATCAATTTCGGCCCAAGAGGCAAGTCAGAGGCAACAAGCAACTCTGGTAACGCTCCCCTGCCTGATATGTTGCTTTGAGGAAGGAAGTGTGAATGCCTTTTGGAAGAGCTGCTCTTAAGGTAGGTCAGTTTTAACTAATAACCTTGAAGGTACCTTTATGTCATCCTATCAAAACTTTAATCTTTTCACCTGGAATTGTATGGCAGATAATGCATGGCACAACTGTGTCTACCCCGGAGAACATCATAACATCTAAAGAGCGGTGATACGGTAACAGTCATCACAGAAAAAGAATGTCATTCAGAAAAACCATTCCACCTTACAGGCAACACCTGCATGTTAGCTTTCTGTGTGACCTCAGGGCAATTTTAGACACTTAACACCCTACCTTGGTCAAACTGTCTCTAAGTGGACTCCGAGCGTGCCGCTATCACATTCACACTACTCACCTCATAAGATATCCCTGGTTTGGGGAGTCAAGGGCACAGAGATGTGGAAAATTAACTGTGAGGCAGGAGAGATGGTTTGGATGGCTTTGTGGTGTACTGCTGCATAAACGTACCTGGTCAGAGAGCGTTCACACCACCTTCTTCAGCACAAAGGCAGATGCACTCTCTGGCTTGAAAAAAAGGACAGCTCTCCTAAAAAAGGAAATGGAGAGAGTTTTCAGCAATTAAAACATTCCTACGGGGAATGCCTGACTTTGATCCAACCAGCTGAAGCACCTCACATCTCTTTTTTTTTTCATTTAATGAAGGCAAACATAGTAGCCATATGGCTACAAAGACCCTTTTTAGACTGACAGACACATTTTCTCCCTGCTTGAAACCAGGCTAGACTTGGCTACTTACAGAACTATTTAAAGTCACCCAATAAGTATGAGGGGCATGTCATATGGATTCAACGATTAGCAGCTTCGCAGCTATGATGGTCGGCCAGCTTTAAGGCTGACTCCTGCCACGGAGGCAGAGCACCTGTCTGCACTCAGTGCAATTTCATATCTGAGTCTGAAGATGGCTCCATCGGCACAAGAGATGCCATCCACTCATGCCTCCCTAGGCACAAGAAAAAAATATCATTAGGCACACAAAGAATGAAGAAATATTCAGAATGCTTAGTCAGCCATCAATCACGTTATTTGTCATATGCTGACAACAACGATGCGGTGATGGCAAGGAAGCAGTCACATACATGCATTATATATTTCTAAAGATGTAAGACTGCGATGTAGAAGCTACAACAAAAGAAACTAGAGAAAAATAGCTTGAGCAGCTCATGGAAGTCAAAGAGAAAAAGAATGACAAAGACAGATTTAACTAAAAAAAGGGAAGAGGAAGGCATATCTGCAGCATTTCATTCTTTGTTCCTCCCCACAACGATCAAATTAAAAAGCCCACACACTTAAATTAAGTACAAGTTAAAGGGGAGCTGGAAATACAGTTATTCAGAATCACTATTTAGGTTAGGAAAATTGCTGCATTATATTCCTTTGTCAAGCGGCAGATAATGAAATCTGCAAAAGAAAATGTGGAATTTGGACCCATCACAGAAGAACCAGAAGGAAACCGAGGAAATCTTTGGTACGGGTTTGCCACGCAGAACCTAAGGAGCTCTGGCCCCATAAACACCACCCTGCATGAGTGACGATGACAGGACACAAGTGTGGCTGTGCAAAGATCCCAAACCTGTTCCCCCATGCCCTCATCACAGCTACAGTCATCGTGCTACCCTCACACACAGCCCAACAGGTTGTTTTTTTTTTTGGTTTGTTTCTTTTCAAACACAACATAAAAAACAGAACTCAGGGAGGGCACGTGTCCAGGACCCAATTACAGAGCTGTGATTACTAATAAACCTTTCTTCGGGAACCTTCACAATGTTTAATTTATACCTTTGAAAACACCTCTGATAAAACCCTGGCTCCACCACCGTCTGGCCAGATTTGTCATTGACTTAAGGGTAAATATCCTCGTCGCAGTTATGTTTACATTGCATTGTGTCCGAAGCTCCAGATATGACTTGAGTATTTAATTGGTGATGACGGGCAGACACCTCAGCGTTTCCAACAGCCAGCCAACCCCTGCAAACAGAAGGCTACCAAGACCCCTCCAAGGCTTGACCCTAGATGAAACCCTCTAGCAAGGGTTTTGGAATTGGAAACATCCAATTCATGCTAGAACATTTAATGGAAGAAAGCACAAAGGGAATAGAGAATATGAACATTATTATTTTAGGTAAAGCTTTTGCAAGCTTGGGTTTCCTTTAAGGTGCGATAGAAACAATCAGGTAACTACGGCTGGTGCTGCAAGGGGCCACAGGGCAATAACAGGGCTGCTGCTGGTGCTCAGCCAGTTTTCATGGCAACAGCACTAAAACAGATGCTGCAAGCTCTGCGAGGGCAAGGAGCTGCAGAGCTTGTTTCTAGAGGGAACTGTTCAATGTCTAATCATTAACAGTAAAAAACACCCTAGATAAAAGTCAGCTAGCGATAGACTAAAGCAATGATGCATTTCAAGTCAGCAGAGTCATTACAGTCACCAGGAAGCGCGGGATGTTTGCTTGTTCCTGTTATGGCTCTACCGTGTTTCCCCTGCAGAGGGGACAGCTTCACAGGAAACAATATAAGTTAGAATTAGAAATAGTCATCTATTCGTTCTTCAAACCCCTCTCATCCAAACAGCAAGAGCATTCGCTCCAGCACGCTGAAGGCAGCAAGATCAGATGTGCTCACACACATTAGGGCATTTTAAGCTGCTGCTGCCATTAAAGACGAGAAGCAGCAGCGGCAGCGTCGTGAGCTTGCTTGCCACAGGGACTGCAGAGTTACGTAGTCTGAAAGGTGCAAACTTAAAATGTATCAACCCCATTACTTGCCTGGTAAGGTTGTGAAGGCATACCACCCCCAGTGTGCACCTGTAGGACCCTATTCTGTGATAAAGCAGCAACTTGGGAGTCCTGTAAGAGCCTGAGATAGAAACGGAGGTGCATTAACCATCGTGTGGCACATCTGCCCTGTGGAAGAGATGCCAGACGTCCCGTGCTACACGCCTGGACCGGGACGGGCAGGCTCTAGGCACAGCCACGGCACGTGCACCGTGCGGCCCAGCCGTGCATCAGCGCCGGTCTCCTACCTGCAGCTTCTGAGCATCATCAGCTGCTACGGCTCCAACCTGGCTGTCAGACAAACATGGGCACCGCTAAGACGACATGCAAAACGTCAAGTCCTCTTACCCTTCCAAGAAATCTGCTGCGTTAAGACACCCGCTAGACTCACTCCAGTCCAGCCCACGAGGCATCAGTATCTACCAGCCCGCGTACTGGAACAGAGAGGCAATTTGTTCCCTTTCATATCAACCCTGCTCTCTGGGCTAAAATCCAGAGACAACTGCTGAGAGCAAAACCCCTCAGCTGCTGAACAGGCACGAGGTTCCCAGACCCTCCTTCCACACGCCTCTGTCCAGGAGGGGTGTCTGCCTCAAGCCCCCTCCCGAGAAAGCCTCCGAAGCTGCAGCTGTAAGCCAGCACAGGGGAGGTTGCTGCAGCTGGAGCCTGGTAACACGTGAAATAAAACAGAACTAAGCTAGATCATTTTAAATGGATATAAATAGTTCTTTTTCTTTACTACCAGAGGTATGTAGACTCCATGGATGAGCATAGAGAAAGCCTGCATCAGAAGCGCCATCTGCATCCTCACTAAACCTTTCCTTTTGAGTACCTTTATCGCTTCACTCCCTGCCAGAAAAACCCTGTTAAAATAGACCCAGCATTCAAAGACAGGTTCTAAACAAATTTAACTGTAAAAAAAAGTCTAAAAGACTATGAAAAAGGCAGCAGCACGTCAGCAACCATATCCATCTTCGCTTCCTGAGGCTAAACCATCGCTCCGTCCATCACGCAATAACCCCAGGCCCTGTACCCAGCTGCAAACGTGGTGCGCTCTGCCAGAAGATGCCTCCGCAGAAGCAGGCATCCCCCGCTGGCCACGCAGGACTCGCTGTCTTTCCACGAACGCAAAGACAAAAGCCCATGCGACACGGCGCGGCACAGCCCCATCCCTGCCCAGCTGATCCGCAGCAGCGGACAACGAAATGGCAATGCTTTCAACACCCAGCTTCACACTCGGAGATATGAAGAAAAATTACTTAGGATTACGAGATGGCACCACAAAACAAAATGTTCATTGGTTTTTAACAGAGCTGTTTACCGTTTGTTCTTAATCTCCAGCCTCTGTATTTATAGCAAAACTACTCACATAACAAAGCTTTGCTGTGCTTGAGAGCATCACAGAAATAGGCCTTTTCTAAAAAAAAACATATTTAGAAAGGGGTATCCGAATAATACTTTGCCCTTTTTTGGTTTCTTTTATCGAAAGCTTCTTAAGAAGCAATAGTTTGCTTCCCTACTAATCTGGTGTTGAAGAAAAAAAAAAATCTCAACTGCCTCGTTACAATCACGTTGACGCTCCTAAAAATCTGCAGAGACTTAGGAAGTTCTTGAACTCTGTTGTCCCAGAGACAGAGCATCACTACTGCTCTGCCTTTGTACCCAGCAGGAACATCACCCCCTTCACCCACAGCCACGGTGCAAAGCCAGAACCATACAGATATATAGGGTCCCTGTGAGCCTGCTGAGCACGTTGCAAAGCAACTTATGCCCGGCCACTGGGATTAACGAAAATCATCTGAACCTGCGTCCCCCACGATGGACCAACTTTGGCAGGAGCTCAAGAGTGAAGGTCCATCCACCGCGGAAACACCAAGTATGGTTCACATCATGCAGAAGACGACAGCAGGAGTCCCCAGCAGCCCGAGAGCCAAGCTGACTTGTGGCAATGTAATTTCAACTCTCCTCTTCGCACGGCTGTCTTCACTCAGACCAGCTAATGAAGTCTGATTTGCAAGAACAAACCTCATAAGATTGGAGCAGCAACCGCTATTGGTAGAAACCTGAAAAAGCCTTCAAATGCCAGAGAAAGCCCACTCCTAATGAGATCTGTTTCAGTGTCACAGAAGCCAAGAAAGCAAACTAATAATATTCACAGAAATGGATTAGAGCTGAATCTTCTGTAAATCTGGTCATGCAAAGAAACAAGGAAATTCACATTCACGGAGAGGTATTTGCCAGCTCTTGGTGCAAACATGAAAGAGGTCATGAATTCATGAGCTCTCACTTACGAATCCATTCTTTTCTAGCACATTTATACAGCTTGCAAAACCTTGAGAAGAGCACTTGGCGACAAGTCTGCCGGCGAGCTCCCTGCTCCTTGAATTCGTTGTCATGCTCATTTCCTGCGGTCTAAGGGAAATGCACGCAGGCATTAGGGACAAGTGTCGGATCATGTAACAGGCTCACCTGCTCCTTAACTTTCTACTCCAACGACTAGTTCCACAACAACCCTTTAAATCAGGATGCTAATAAGGATAACGCCATTATCCTGGAAGGAAGGTATAAGAATGAAGAGCACTGTCAACTTTCATCCTCCTCTATTTTTCTTAGACAAAATTAAACACTGCTAGTGAAAATGTTTTTTTACTTTGATAATCTCACTTAAGTTTGGTCTACATAACAACGCAGGCCCCAGGGTGAAGTGCCTAGTATTTTAAAATAAAAAAAAAAAAGAAGTTTTAAGAATTCTACTATTT